CAGCCTCCAGCTGCTTAATCTCAGCCACTTCAAGCTGCACCTGTGAATCCGTCAGGGTTAATCACGCTAACAGATGGCAGGGGCCAAACAGGCAGCTAAGAACTTATATCATTTTAAATAGCATCTAATGTTTCACAGCTTCAGACCGGGGGCAGTCGTACACAACAGTAACTAACTAGGGGAGCTGGAATCAGGCTCGTACTTTATCATCTGAACAAGTGTTTCAAGCACACAGTACAGCTGCCAATTACTAATCAGGCTGAGGAGCAAACATACTACCTGGCTACTGCATTCGGTAACTAGCTGACATCTCCCATGAAGGATTTCTGTGTCCTGCGTGTTATTGACTTTACAAAGCACGAGCGATAGCAAACTACCAGTCACCAAGGGGATTTTGCAACAGTGCATAAGGAACCAATATGAATTTTACTTACTTTTTTTTTTTCTTAGTGACTGTTCTATTTAGAGCCTATTAATAGCTTTCCAAATTCTCTAAAGGGACTGAAGTTTAACATTCGGATAGGTTTAAGATTCTTTTAGCCCATTTTCATCATGCATAAGTAACGTAAAATGTGGGTTTAGGGCTGGATTGCTTTCTTTCCAACAAACCTTGCGGTCCTTTGCAGACAAAAGAACCTCATTGTCTCCAAATTCATTCTCCCTGGGGAGATTTCTGTTGAGATTAAGGATTGAAGGATTTGCCTCATTACAACTTAATTTTATTTTTAAGGTTTCCATACCACCTTTTAACAAAATGAGCTAGATCTTTGTTTCTTCTGTTATATTTCAGCTCAGGTTCACGCAAAGTTAGTTCATCTGTAGAGAGCCTAAACCAGACAAAGACTGAACTTCAGCTTAGGAAGAAAGGAAACTGCAGAAAATCTAGCAAGAAGGGAGTAAGAAAGTACAGACTAGTAAAGCGTGTTGCGAAGAATATTAGTTTATTTTTCTTTTTCTTTTCCAAGTTATGAACTATGTAAAACAGAAAACAGAGAAGGACAAAGACACCACTATTGACAGCTCATGCAGTTAACAATCAAGAAGCTCTGAAGGCAGGAGTGTGAAAGATGAGACATTATTTTCCACTTGGATCTTGCTAGTGACTTCTGGCAGTTCGCTGGTACTTACTCATCTGGTTGCTGTCATTCACAAAGTCCTCGGACCCATCATTGTCATCTTCATCGTCTCCAGAGGAAAGAGCATCTGCACATTAAAAACAGTCAAGACTTTAAACCAGCCAATTTGAAGACAAATAAACCTACACGCTACATCTTAGATTATCTATCAACAGATGTCATGTTAGTTGTGCAAAAGCTACAGAAAAAGAAAATCCAGCCACAAAGTGTGTTATTCTTATAAAAATCTAACAAAACTAGCTAATAATCCTGAAATGCTACAAAGCTTACAAAGGGAGCTTGCTAACTTCAAACATCTCCTTCCACTTACAATTTTTATTTTTCTAAAAGACATTCAGTTGAACAGAACTGAGTGTCTCCAGAAGGATTTATCTCTAAACTTAAAGGATGTAGGACACCCCTTTTCCTCTTCTGATGCAGGGAGGAAAAAAAAAAAAACTTTTATTCCTTCTCCTGGCTTTATCATCATCACAGTGACTCTGCATAATTTAATCCTGTCAGAGCGGCACAAAACAGAGGGCTATTCACCAGCTGTTAATCACTATAGATCCCATGAAGCAAAAGGAGTATATACAAACTGAGTCCATTTTAGGGTCAGGACCAGGCGGAAAATACCTGAAATAACTACAGAACTCAGCTCAACTCACTGTGGCCAAGTGCACTGTTTCATGTTATACCATAATGTGTATTTATACCACATTTTACAGCTTCTACATGCAAAAACCTGTGTTTAACTCACTCACCTGTTACATTTACAATGAAGTACAGAGTATCACTGTCTAGGGTCCTAACAGCAGTGCAAGCATAGAGGCCCGAATCTCTGGGTGTAGCATCCTTAATTTGTAAGTACTCCCCAATAATCACTGTCCTATTGTCGGGCCCCAAAGGGACCCCATCCTTAGTCCAACTGATCATGACGGCGTCTTTCAATTGACAGCGCAACTCAAGCGGCTCTCCTGGAAGTGCTGAATATACATCTGGCTGAGAGATTTGGTATTTGGTTGGCGGCTCTGCGAAGGTGGAAGGAAAGGAGGAAAAGAAGAAGAAAGAGAAGGGAAAGGAGAGAATTTCCAACAAAAGTCAGTGAAGGCCCTTTTCATCCACAGAAATCAAGTTACGTTCAATAAAAAAAAAAAAAAAGTCTCATCCAGATTAGCCCAGCAATTTGTCTCGTAAAACTGAACCACATGCAGGGATGGGATAGGCTTTATTTTCAAGAAGTTAACCACAAACAAAGCTTGTTCCCTTTTGAGCGGTGTCTCAGCACATGCCTTGTCCCAGGTGCCACCCAAAGGCACAACCCTTCTCACTGCCCACAGCAAGCCAATACTGGGGCATGAGTACTGCCGGACCTGGGAACTCACAGGATTCGGAGGCGGCAGGAGGAGTTAAAAAAGCAAATTCAGTTTTACATCTAAGTATTTGCACCTATGATTCAAAATGAAAATATCCCCATCCGATTTTATAAGTTGCTTTAAAAAAAAAAATAGATAAATAAACAAACAAACAAAAAAAAACCCACAAACAAACTGAAAAGAGCTGTGTTGGAAGAAAAGGACAGCCAAAAACCCCATCACTAGCTAAGCTAATAAACATGAGTTCCTATACACAGTATATATGTTGTTCTTTATTTTTCTCGCTGTGCCCTTCCCAAAGGCTCTACATTTGCCTTCTACACTGCCAAATCTGCTTCCAGTGACAGCAACTTAGCAACTTTTTCCCCCTTTTTTTTTTACACCTTCCTTTCTTATTTCCCAGCCTCTTCTGAGCAGAACACAGCAGAAACCCAGGAACACAAGCAAAAAACTTTCAAAGGAACAGCGTACACAGAAGTACAAAACTAAATGGCTCCCTTTTGTAACCAAATAATGAGAAGAATGTCAAACCACACTCTTTTAAAAAAAAAAAAAAAAAAAAAAAAAAAACACCACACCACACATGCCATCCTTGGAAAAACACATCTGCCTGTAGTTACTAGGGCTTCATTACCCCCTTCCAAAGCTGGTTTTCCACAGGGGAAAGGGAATAGCAGACCCAGGCACTCAGAATTGTCCCCACAGGGATAGTGGGACAGCTTGGGACAAGGCGGAGGGACCGACGCACCCAGACTGTGCCAGCTACAGGGACTGCTTTTGTAACTGATTTCTCCCTGCAACCACAGCATCCCTCTCCCACAAGCTCCTCGGCCTCGCCAAGGCCGCTATCAAAAGTAAAGGAAAGCAGCATGAAGACATCTCCTGTTTGCTCACAAGGAGGGTCCCATTGCGCAGACAGCTGCACCCTGGCGCGTACCCCGGCACACATCCTGCCCTGCGCGGGCACCAGCCGAGCACCACTGCAGTTGTACATAAATAAAACACACACCTCTCTGTGTTTGCTCAGGAGTCTGAGGAAATATTGAAATAGGTGACTCCTCAGTGTCCACCCTTGCTTCTAAGAATACCGAAACTCTGAAACCCATATTCCTCGTCCTTGGGGCACAGCGTCATCGTTTTTCAACAGAGAAGTCCCAAACAAGCCTGATCTAGCCATTGGATGCGAGTTTGGGAACTGCTGAGGCTATGTCAGTGGTTCAGTCTTAGGTAGTCCTGTGAGGAAGAGAGAGTTGGACTCTATCCTTGTTCGTCCTCTTCAACTGGAAACAGCTGATGACTCTGTACCAGAAGGTGCCACCACAGTGGGACACTCATGCATTGGAATATTGGGTTATACTGGTACGTCTGAAAATAGCATGCCCAGTTTCTCCTCCCACTCATCCTGGAACCATGTACCTTCAGGGAGTTCAGTGGGAGTTTGCATGAAATGAAGGGAGAACAGATCCAGAGATGTGCCTTTGCAGAGCAAGCAAAGCTTCTCCTGGCTTTTTCCCTGGGGCAAACATGTTTTTTCAAACAACAGCTTTGACACAGCACACCAAGACGGTGACCAGAAGTACATAAAACCACTGAAACAAGAGCAGTTACAGAGATTGTAAAGATTTCTGGATTCGGATTTTATAATAAAACTCTAAACTTTCTACCACGCAAAGTCCCTTCTCAAAGTCTAGGACAAGCTACAGTGCAGCTTCATGCTCCTCACAAACTAATTCAGCCTTCTGATAACTCAGCCTTGCTGATACAGTCACGAATCCACAGACCTGCAATGCAAGTGTTCCCCTGAGTACTACACTATGCTGTTTGAAATCTAATTTCCAGGAGGAACACAGGCTCCTTTCTACATCTATTTTGTAACAGTAATGAGTATATTTGAGTCTGCTGGAGGATTCTTATGCATTCAGATTCCACCGTCAAATTAAAAAAAGAAAAACCCAAGGTACCTGAAGCCAACGAGCTAATTTACTTTGAAGTTTTTAAGACTTCTTTGCAATGGCTCTACCTGCAAAGAAAGTTTCTTTTACAGAGTTTACACTGTGTCGGCGGTGTACTGGAGCCTAGAAACATCTTCGTTTTTAAAAGCCACCATGGGTGAAGATAACTCAACCCTCCTTTTAAGGGCACTAGAGGCTTTTGCTGAAGAGTGCCAGGAAACTTGCAGGATGGTCACACAGGTTGCAGCATCCTCCTGGGCAGATCAGTTGTTCCCATACAAATAAAAGGAAAATCATTTTCTATCTCCCATCCATTATTTCATCTCTTTTTAAATTGCTATCCCAAAAATTACACTGAGTCTTTCAACACAAATCCAAATCCAAACTCAAGAGCAGTAATTTATCTAAAAATTACGAAAAAAAAAAAAATCCTTTTACAATAAAAGTTACTAGTATGCTGAAGAAACACAAGTTTTAAATAGGTACTAGCATTTGGTAAATATTATCCTCCTCCATTTCTTCCTCTCTAGAGTATCAGGGAAGATACAGCACAAAGTGTTGTCATGAAATAATGAAGTCATGTTTGGAAATAGTGAGTTATTTCAGGTAAGCCTTTGTGTTGCCAAACTAGAATGTAGCAGCACTTAAGTCTGTCACTTTTTATAATGTTTGCCTATAAACTTTTTCCAGTGTGGGTTTGAAATGGTGCCCAAAAGCAAACAGAGAACAGGTGGGATTCTGAGGCATGAGTCCGCCCAACAGCTTCACTGAAAAAAATCAACCCATTTAAACTGTTAAAAAATTCCCAGCAGCACATAAACAACCTACGCTGCAAAGTTAACTCTCTCTCCAGGACACTGCACAAGGATTTTTACACCGCTCTGAAATTCAGGGACAAATTTTGACCTCACGCGCATGCTGTACCATCAGATCAACGGTTCCCCTGGGGCCAACACCAGGATTCTTCCCCTACTTCCACGTCTTTTGAGCGTACCAGAGAAATAATGCTGCAAGTTTGCTCAGCCCTCACTTGTACCCATCCTCTGACGTTTTCAGCAGCATCCTCCTGAATTCTCCCATAGTGACAATAGCTAGATGGGAGGAGGAGGAGGAGAGATCCCTGCAGAGCCTGCACCACCAAGCAAGGCTTGAAGATCTGGTACCACGTCCATGCTCCTCCAGACCTTTCTGAAGGGATCTCTGCCTTGAAAGCAGATCCTTCAGCCATCACCACAAGCCAGTAAATCAGCCCTTTCCTGGGCAAGCTCTGCACGGTTGCGGGAAGGTGGCACGAGATTCCCTTCTACATGAGTTTCTCCTCAAAATCCCATAACTGTGGAGTTAGTTCCTACCAAAAAGGTGAACAACACCTGTCCATCACCACTTAAAACCAAACAAGCAACAAAAGTCCTTGCAAAATAACCAGCAGTGTTCTTAAACACTGGGGGGACAATGGAGGGAACGTTGCTTCTGCTATTGTCTGCTCTCAGCTACATCCTTGTTTGTCATAGTGCTGCACACAATGTATTTTAACTTTATAGGTGGAACTATTGAACAATACCGCCGTGGAAAACCGAGCTGCTGTTAAATAAACAGACGTGAACTTTTTCTTTGCCTACTCACACAGTCTTGCAACACGGTTTATGCCATCCAGCCATCAAACGGAGTAAATAATGTTTGTATAAAACACATAGACACAATAGAGGACTGGGGACATTCTGAATGTGCTATTTCAGATTACTATGAGACACAATTATATTCCAAATCACGCTTCTGTTCAAGATTCGGTCACTGAAACGACTGATGTATACTTCCCCAGATTTTAAATTATTTGTCTCTATTTATTAAAATGTTAACAAAGAGCTGCTTATCTTAAGGCTCAAGGCATTTAGTTACTTAGTTACAGAGCCAAATAATTAAACAATCAGCTAATGGCTAACCCCAGCAAAGATTCTCACACAACTCACCAGAACACAAAAGCCTCAGACCCCATCAAGCCACTTTCCCTTCAAAAGGCTTTAGTAAATAACTAAACACTCACCATAGCTTGCCCAGAAGGGTCAACGGACCTGACCTGTCAGGAATCCAAGAGGTTCATTGGAAAACTCAGTGTCCCCACAGGGAACATGAGGCTGCCAACCACCATCACTCCTCCTGCTTCTCCCACCCCTTCTCCTGTTCTTCCTGTCATTGAGGAAGATCCAGCAAGACCTCTTTTGATGAGCAACACGGAATGGGGATGTCAAACTATCCCTGAAGCAGAATAGCCCTGGGCCCCACGACTTTGTGAGTCAAAGCCAAGCCTTTGTGCTCTCCAGGAGCAGCCTCTACAAGACCAGGAAGCCCAGGCTTCATCCATCAGGTTTGCAGCCTTCCCTCCCATCTCCCTGGTACGAGCTGATGGGCTTCTCCCTCAATTTAAGTTGGCAGGCTAACATTAGGAGAAGCTCCACATCTTCTCCTGATGATGGATGATAAACTCAGCCTACAAAATCAACGGCCACCGGTTTAAAAACATGAAGAGTCACTCCTGGCCACAGTGACTATCTCCTGTTAGCCAACAGCAAACCAAAGCCACAAAGGCTAAGCACATCTCCTTGTACAAATAGCGTTTGCAATTCATCCATCTGCTTCTCCAAAATCATGGGATTCCCGCTGACTTATTTACACCGCGTTTCCATCAGCTACTGCCAGCTCTGCCCA